AAGCGGCACATTCATAAAGGAAGAACTGCAAAATTTTCATTGTGACCCACTCAGAATAACACAGAGCAGCGTTGTCATGAGACACGAGCTAACTGAAAGCTGGTTCTGTATTGCTACGCAAGCACGCAACCGCGTGCTGATGACTGTATTTGCGTCACTTCGGTCGGTTTTTGGTGATGTGAATTCACGTATGTCTAAAACTAGCCAGAGTATTTTGGCTGGATAACTCAGTGGAAAAGTACATGTATTTTGCATATAAATACTTGATATGTCATTTGTTGAGGCGCAGTCGAACACGGATATTTGGGAGAGGACATATGTTTGATTGAACGTGACCTGGCGTTATATTTGCTCGTTACCTCGGAAGTGAAATCTCGAGCATCTCATTACCTATTGAAATATGTCTTTGATATGTTTTCACCTTCCATCTCTTCCGAATGTTCCTCCTCTAACTTCTGATATTATGACTCTGCGAAGTTAACACTTTCGAGAAATAGAAGTAGAGAATATATGGAATTTCCAAACAAATAAGAGTTTTATTTGGAGAGAAATGAAATGCAACTATTCAAATAACAATTGGCGATAGAATGATATAGGGATGTGATGCGTAGTGTAAAAATTTTCATTAATGAAACTTTCTCTTGATCGGCTTTTGTATCAAATTTATAAGATGAATTCGCAAATGGTGCGACTTTATCCCGTTAAAGAAAAAAATCTACACTAAATTTGTTTCGAGAGGGGTAGATTTTACAATAAATTGGAATCTGTGAAGTCCTGTATTTTTATACCTATTATTATTTGTATACCTGTTCCTCATATGCGGCTTTTTCTGTCTATCCGCTTATTATTATCTTCTTAATCTAAAAGAAATTAAGGATTGAACGTAGTAAGATTAAAAAAGTGTGTCGAGAAAAATACTTATTTGGGGTTGGTTTTATGATGAATGAAATATTACTTACAACTTAATTTGTATTGTCGTTGGTGTTTCCCTAAAAACATAAATTTGGGACGAATGTGTACAAAAACTGGAATTTCTGAATATTGCAAGTTAAGTTACAATTACTTTACAAATATCAAGTGGAACCGATGATGTATGGTGCATTGTTGGGGTGTTTTATTGAAATATACGAATGAGGACAAGTAAATCGGCTATCTAGTCGATACCTAAAAAGAGTGCACATTACATATTTTAGACTATTTCAATTTATAATTACTACATCATGTATAGTACCTAGCTAAAGGATCTTAAAAAAATTCTTACTAGAAGGAACTTCTACATAGAATGATAAAAAAGACCATACCACTTTGTCGTTTTCAGATCCTTGTCCGCTGAATTTTAATACTGTAGGATTTATACCAATAACTGGAACAGATATCAGAGAAACATCATTATAAATTATAGGTAGCAGGAGATATGTGGATGAGAAAATATGGTTTGGTAAAATTAAAAAAGGGATTTTTCTCGAGAATGGGAGCAACTGTAAGATATTATATGGATGGTGAAGATAATAGTTCAGCACCTTTTAAGATTGCAATTTGTGGAAAGGAAGGAAGTAACACTGACCTATTCATTTCTCTTTCTGTTCGACAGTGATTTGGAAATTAGTGATTTTCTAAAGAGGACGGGTTAACTGGAACAGATCTGTTTATTGATTGCTTTCTCTTTAGAACTGTTATGCTTGACCTTCTATAATAAAGTCTCTAATAAAGTTAGGGTCAAAGGTCAGGACATATAGACTAATTATCTTGAAATAAGATGAAATATCCACTGTGAATTTATTGTTGATATATGCTAGCGTACCATACTGTGCTCTGAGAGCTCTCCCAAGCCGCTTTCGACAGCACCTCAATTTGATGACCATGTTCAGGAGCTTCGTGGATTTGGAAAATGGTGCTTTGTGGCCTTTACAGGTGACAGTAACTCGCCTATCAACTGAGTCGCCAATGTCGCTGGATGATGAACTAGCACCTGAAGAGTTATCATTTGTTGGCTTCAATCAGGATGCTACGTAAGCTTCGTTTTTTAAGAGTATGTCGGGCAGGTTTCAAATGAAAAAATTGATTTGGATGCGACACATACTGCGTAATTATAAGAATGATTTTCTGAAATAATTTTTCGGGCAGAGTTTTTTGCTTGAGGTGTAAGAAATGATAAGGAAGTGACCCATGAAAATCTGATTTATTTATCTATTTTTAACCAAATATATGAGAGTTTGGCAAATAATGCAACTCAGGCTTGCTATGGGTAACGCTTTTTTATGGGAAGCGTTTTTTATTTGACAGTGTTATAAATATTTCAGCAGCTGAGTAATCAATTCAGTGATAATGAAGTAATTCGACATCTTTATAGATCGCTTGCTTTGGGTGCAGCATCCAGCTATGCATTGTATTCAATCAAGAAAACTGATAAACTTGATTTAATTCACGAAAGTTATAGACAGTTTTCAGATGACAAAAAGAAAAGTGTAGGTAAGACCGACCACTGTCATTGTCTTTGAAGAATCGAAAATTTTAGATGTTGCGGGTGGATAAAATTTTTCTTTCTTGTAAAGCGTTAAGAATGCTAGAACTGAGGGGATACCAAGGCTATTCTGATTCTTCGGTGTATTTTTTATAAGATTTATCTGCGATTACCATCGCTCTTTGAAAAACAAACTTGACAGTGTCGGGATAGGCTCGAAATATGATAGAAAATGTGTTTTAGAAATTTCAAATATGCTTAGGTGAGGATTTAAATCCAACGTTGATCTTAGAATACATTTATATTTTAGTTGTGCTTGGTATTTTATTCAATACTATAGAAAATTAAGCTGTTAAACTATTGCTCATATCTTCGAAGTAATATTTTTTATTTTTGTAATTATAGAAGTCTCCGAGATTATGCTTATTGAGCGTCTCTTTTCATCCAGTCTTTTAATGCTGGTATCAACGCAAGCACCGCGTAAACTACGGATTTATCATTTCCAAAAAAACAATGAGATTTGTGCTCAAAGTTACACAAATACAGTACTAGCAGTAAGATTAAATCGTGATGTAAGGCTTTTTCACTGTTTCCGAAATGCTGTTTTCTATAGATTAGATGTTAAAAGATGTTTTGAAAGCAAAAAAACAAGGCCTTAGACACTCTTTGACTTTTCACGTTATGATAAGCAATATCATTCCAGAGATTAAGAAGTTACTTCAGTCTACTTTGAAATGAATTTATTTAACAGAGCTTAAATGCATTTATTTGCAGTATATGGTTGTTTGTTTGGAAGACATAGTATATATCCATACGGTTAAAGATATGAAGGTGATTCTTTTTTCTAATTTGTTTTTTATGCAGTATGTACTTTATGGAATTTATATCAATTTTCAGTAGACTCATTCCTAAAATTCAAGAAATTTATGTGTGCATGAGTAATTGCAAATCTAATTATCGTTTCACCAGTATGTAGATAGAACAACGGAGATAATTTTATTAACTTACTATGCACTAATATACATTCATCACATGCATTTTTAAGTCGTTTATCATTTTTCGCTACGTACATGACATCCTACAGAACAAAAAAATACTGTTATGCCTGTGTATAAATAGGAATACAATGCAGGCATAATAATCGTTATTCATAAAAGTGATTCTTCCAACAAGTTTTCTTCAACATAGAATGTTGCGAAAGTTGTTAATACAGTTCGGAATATGATGTTTGGAAGGAGTTATGGCTATTGATTTTGTAGTATTTCATAAAGACGGTAATTCGTAAAGATCTCATTTTTATGTTGATGAGTTATGTTTTTGGTGCTGTGATGAGTTATGTTTTTATGTTTTAAATGTTGTGTTATGTGAGACTCTTTTAAATGTCATCGCTTAGACAATTTGCTCTCTCAATAAGATGATTAGATGGAACAGAGGGTTGTAGGAATTTTCATCACAGAACTAGAGAGATTTTCCTTTTGTCAGTTTATTTCAGCAATTTTAAATCTTGTTGACGAATTTTATTTGTTAATATACAGGTTGTGCTTCCATTCTTTTATATTTCTAAAAAAAGAACAACTTGGAGAGTGGATTAATAGGTTAGTGGATAGATATTTATATTTCGACTCAGATTGAACTATAGAAAAATTCTGAAGTTAACATATCTTACATATCTTTCAAAGTTCTTTTTCGTTTCGTTCATCAGCACGTTTGAGAAATGGATAGCTTATAAATGGTTGCACCGTGTTATGTTCAATCATTGGATCATTACTGGTGGCATACATCAAGTGATCTAATTCACCTATTCTCTTATGCATCCTCACCGTTTATCAAATTGAGATCACGACTTATGATTTTTTTCTTTCATATCAGATCATCCGTAATTTATACTGCTAACCTTGCATAGGTTATTGTTGAATCATCTATGTGAAGAAAATTCATAATTCATAATTTTACTGAAGCATGAACAAAGCAAAAATTTCTTTCATTGAGGCCGATATTTTTCCGGTCATTCATACAATTCGTGATACGCCTTCAAATATTAGTGGAATCGTCGATCTGTCTTCGACAGTCAATTCTTTTTTAGCTTATCCGGGCTCAATCAACAATGGCCACGGTAAAGATTTTCCTAATTTTTCTCTCTTAATAGTGTTACAAATTGGTTACAACATAACTGAATAAATGAAAGTAATTATGAATAATGTGGTGTACTCATGATAAAATGAATTGAACTGGAACATATATTATCTTTTAATGATGTATGATCATTAAAAAGTGATACCGCATCTGGCGGATTTTTGCAAGAGGATGGGGAAAAACGAGAAACAGAAACAAGAGAGATGAGGTAGAGAATTCTAAAACCAATATTGCTTTTAATGTATTTAAGTTCAATTATTTGACGTGACACGTTTGAATTCGATGAATACGATTTCGGCGCATACCAGTCCATTGGCGGCATTACGTTTCAGTTATGACGGCAAAAAGTTGGCTACTGCTTCAACCCGCGGTACTGTAATTCGTGTATTCGACACTGAATCAGGAGATCGATTGTATGAGTTCACACGGGGCGTTAAAAGGTAATTTTTGTAATATCGAGGATTTTTTAGTTTGAAGTAGAATGAATGAATGAATTTGCAGGTTTGTGAGCATTTATTCAATGGCATTTAGTATCGATGGTAACTATTTATGCTCTTCAAGTAATACCGAAACGGTTCATGTGTTCAGATTGGAGCCGACAGCTGATCCAATAAATGAGTAAAATATTCTTATTTCACTATTTTTCATTTCCTAAGAAAGTGAAACTTCGAGATTGGTTTGATCTAATTTATTTTTTTAATTCTTTATTTTATTTTATAAGAATTTTATCTGGTTTTTTAGAATATCTTTTTTCTGTGTTTATGATCGCTGTTTATATTTCTTTGCTTCTGCATTTATACTTTTTGCTTATTTTTTGTAAGCAGAAAACAGTTCTTAAAAGAATAAAAAATGACAATAATTTATTGTTCATCTAGTCCATGATACTGAGAATGCTATGTTCAGAAATGAAGATGATGAGGAACAAGGATGGGTAGATTATTTGTCAAAACAAGCGAGCAGCTATTTGCCAACACAAATGAATGATCTTTGGATGCGAGGAAAAAGTTTTGCTACTGCAAGATTGCCATCAATTGGGAAACGGAATGCGGTTGCGCTACCATTGTAACTTTTCTATGTTACCGATATAGCGATCTAAGATATTTGCTATCTTGTAATTGATGTATCCCTTATTAGAGATCTGGCTATCCTATTTATCTCTTTGGTGATCATATAAGATCTCTGCAATCTCTTGGTTACAATTCATAAACTTTATTCGTCCCGACACCGACTCTGACACTTTGTCGAATTGAAAAAAAAGATCCACATCGGGTTTTACTTTTTGATCAATTAGTCAAATTTAGTATATCGTCATGAATTTCAGTCACAATTCTAAAGTTGATTATTGGAATGGTGGAATACTTATTGCCATTTTCAGAATTAATGGCAAACTACATTTGCTGGTTGCAACGACTGATGGTTTCGTATACATATATCCGGTAGAGGCGGAAGGAGGTGAACTGACATTGTTACGACAACATAAAGTCAGCATAAAGGTTATCTTCTTACTTTTTTTTCTCTTTAACGGGACATAAATAGTTATGTTTAATGTCTCAAGCATTTTTATAGCATTGCTCTTTCAAAAAGTGCTAGGAAATCATAGTATGCTGAAAGTTGAATCATGAATTTATGAATAAATTAAAATTTTCAGTATTCTCCAGTAGTCCATGCAAATGATCCATCTGACAATCAAACTAGCGAAGATAACGATGGAACGAGAAATGAAGAAGGGCAGACTCTAGATAGGCAGATAGTAGACAACTTTCCGCCTTTGAATCATTCCACTTCATAGATTTTCATTAGTTCTGCTTGAAATTTACAAAATTAATGAATCCGCATATGCGGTGTGCATTCATAAGAAAGCCTAAGGTTTGTGAATACGTTGTAAATATTTGTAAGTAATTTAATTCCATATATTAATTTTTTTCATTTATGAAGTCTTCTGAGTTTGGTTTAACTCCATGCTATTTGTCAAATTTATTGTTTGAAAGTTAATTTTATATTAAGATTTTCTGTAATTGAAAATGGACTTTATATTTTGCATCCCTCTTCATTGCTTCGATTGTCATTCAGTATCTCAAAATGAAGATCCGGACTTATTACATCTGTTACACTTCCATTATTTCGTCATTGTTCTTGAAAAAAAGAGTTTCTACATTAAATACAATTTGGACTCAACAACATATTTCCAAAACAACATTCAATGTACTGAAAAAATCTTCCATGTGACAATTTTTTAAAAATGCATGTGTTTTAATTGTAAAATTCTAAGATTTCATATTTTTCATGCATATTTTTTTATTTTTCCATATTTTAATATTTTCATAATTTATTATAGCTCTTTAAACTGTTCCTTTTATTCTTGCTTAAGAATGAATTTGCAGTCGTAAATTTGATTGTCTGATGGAGCAAATAATCTTCTGCATATTTTCATTTTCAGCATTAAGTTGAAAAAGTTCCATGTTTTTTTCGAAACATTTTTATATATTACGCGATTATCTTTCTACACATGACAATGCTTCTGTGGACTTTAATTATACAAAGATAGCTTTGGAAACTCATACTAGAATTTTAAATGTAACTATTTCTACCATTCATAGCGATTTATTTGCCAAATTGTATTGAAAAATGCTTTATTAATATTTGATTGTACAAATTTGACAAGTGTTTTACAATAAAACGCAGCTTTGTTTAAAACGTGATAAATATCAAGGATTTTTCGGAAACATTTAAATTTAAAAAATTTTGACAATATTTTGTTTACGAATGTGGAAGTGATTAAGGACAGTATTTACAGCTTTCGGGACATTCATTTGCCATCAGTGAGACATAGCGCGGGTCTCGGCACAGTATTATATATTTCCGACAATCTGAACGACCATTTGGACCTTTTAGGTCAGTGCAGGTACCATTTGCAAATATACCTGTATTTTTTTTTCTTGCATGGATTTTCGAGTTTCATATGCTTGGAAAAAATCCTAATTACTGGTTCCTTTGTTGAAAGATGAGTTATTTATTCATATTGACGCATAAACTGCAATGTGATCTTTAAAATAAGTTCTCATTAAAATTTCCTGAATAAAGAGCAAACCTGTACGAGGCGTTGGAATAATTAGATCTGAACAACGGTCGCATGTTACAGGGCATTGCCAGGTCATCAGATTATAGTACACATAATTCTCGCAAAGGTAACTGTACTTCGTACAATCCGAATCACGACCAGGCGCTGACTCATCATAACACAATCCTGCGTAATAAAAGGCATTTAAGATATCAGGTGGGATATCGATGCTTCAGCGCATAAAGGTAAGAGATTCAAGTTCAGGATTTGATATACTACCTGCTATTCTGCTACAGCATCGCTTCAATTAAGTTTCAAAGTCAATTTTGCTTAAAACTCAATATAATCAAATAAATTAAATTGAATTGAAATCTAATGAAGTACATACGTGAAGTGATATTGAGACCACTTTCATATGATGCTGAAAATAAATTCGAATCATGATTTTTGAATTTCCATTCTTTTCATTTATTAACCCATCATTTCCTTGATTTGAAATAACAAAAGCGGATAAAAGAAGTATTTTGATAACATTTAGACTAAATTTTCTATTGGCTAAAGGTTTTGTTTGGTAGTCTATCACTGACAGCATTTTTTATACAATTTGGACACAAATTAGGCTATCAACTTTATCCTTACAAATATTTCATACATAATCGCAATCAAAGTGAGTCGGTCGAAATGGTTTTCAATTTTATTGAACAATGTGATTTGAGAGATATCCGAAAAAAGTAGAGGCAAAGTAAACAGTTTTACTTTTAAACTTTGTAGATAGTTTTTGCATTTTTTTCTTTCGCCCTTGAGCAAGAATGATTAAAATAATTTTTTGCTGCTTTCAAATTAATTAATTAAGGACATCAAAAACATAATAATTTGATGGGAATTTTTTTTCTAAAAACTTCATCTAAATTGCATAAAGTAGGAAATGAGGCATAATGCTTTGAATGATATCATTTTTCATCAAACAATTGTCATACAATCCATTAAATTAAATGAAATGTGAAAGAGACATATGCATTGTTAATTTACAAAATTGCAATCTAGGAGAATCTGAGAATTGAGCTAATTTATATTTAAAATATTTGAAATATTTAACTGGAAGAAAATAACATACATTCTTCGTGAACCACTTTTTTCCTCTCCTGAGCCATCGTTTTTATCTGATACTGATTTAGAAGTATTAGAAGAAAAATTACTAGATTATAATCTGAGATAGAGACCATATCATCAGACTATTTTATTCACTTGTTTGCATTCTATTTGCTTCATATCTCCCATTCAGTAGTGCTTTTTTGTAAACAATTGCATATAATTTGCAAATTTGTAAAAGCTGCACAAATAAAAGGCAGTGATTTTGAGACTTTGATATTATTTTCATCAAATTGCAAACAAAAAATATGCAACAAGTGAAAGATTGAATGACGAAGGATTAGAAGAAAAGGAATTGATATTTGAATTTGAACCTTTTAGAAAACTCTTATCGTTTAGGACTTTTCAATGTTTTATTCAACAACATAAAAGAAAATAATACTGGGAATGAACATAAGAAATTTTAAGGAAAGTAATTTCTTCGCGTAATTGAATAGAATCATTTAGAAATAGTAAGAGAAATTATTTTATACACAAATATACGTTAATCCATCGTCTTCTTTTGAACGAAGTTCCGATCATTTTGAAAATTTCTACTTTGATCGCAATTGCGCGTAATATTTTCATTCTTGCTTAATTTTTTTTTATAATGGAAATTTGATTTTTTATTTAAATTTACATAATACATATTTCAATACAAACTACAGATTTTAGCGCGTACAGTCATCATTCTGCTACAATTAGTGATATTCCTGCACAATAACGTGTCTTGAAATGTGCACCATCAGATGTGCCCAACTTTGTTAACTTAAAATATTGTCTCATTTTCAAATTACCCAATCTAAAGCAAAGTTTGATTATTGGCTGGTTTCATAATATGATTTTCAAGCTTTCTAATAACTTTCAAAATTACTGTCTGTCTATTTTTTCTTTTCCTTTTTATTGCTGTTTACTTATTCCAAAATAATTATTGTTTATTTGTTTATGTTTAATTACTTGCTAAATATTTACTAATTTTCAAACTTCGGCTACTCTACTAGTTGTTTTTTATGTTATTAATAATCTACCTGATTATCAAATGTGAATATGGCATAATATTCGGGAACGATTGCATATAAGTGAATAGATAATATTATGTCAGATTTGATGTTTACATAAAGCATGCAATATCTTTTTAATTTAATTAGCTTAAAAAATCACAGGGGATGTTATTACTCTTTTAAACTTACATTCGACAATCGAAGAAGAATCCAGAAGAAAATGGAATATCAAATTAAATATCTTATAAGACTGCAGTATGAGGCGATCAAAAATAATTAATTGAAAGAGGGATATATGATAGAATATTGATTCATAAATCAAACTAATTTTAAAAACTGGAAGGAATATTTCAATCGAGTCGAATTTATTACACATTAGAAAGGTTGGAAAAATATGGCAAACTTTAAATAAATGGTTAGTTAATATTTTTATCCATTTCTGGACTTTTTCCAGTTAAATTTTCAACAGGATAGTCGTAATCTCAATAGGATAGTTGTAACAGAACAAAACTGATAAGCTTGTTATTCTTTAGTGATATGTGATATTGTTTGCATTATTAGTAATGATATTAGTAACAGTCAACAACCAAATATTGTTTTCTCATTTTCAATTGATGCTGGTGTAGAATCTTTGGCTGCAATAAATTCATTGATTTATTTATTATTGTTGCATTTAGAAAAGGACAGATAAAGCAAGCTGTGCAAATAGATATTCTCTTCCAATCTGAATTGCTTTATCGACGACAAATTATCAACAACCTGAAGTTTTTATCCATAATTATTTTAGCACCATCCATGTGCAGATAAGACTCTTAGTTTCTTAAACCTAAATTTGAGGAGATGCCTGGAGACAAAAATTTCGTATTTTTACAATAAAATTTGAAATTTCCCCCAAAATAAATTTTGATTCAAATATTCTTCTAAATAAATGCGCTCGTTATATGTTGCACATTGTGCATATATATTCATAAGCAAGTCTCTAAAGAAAATTAGGTCTGGAAATTCAAAATAATTTCTATTTAGAGAGTTGAATGCAAAATTTTAATTTAAAGAGAGTTAAAGATTCTATCGATATGATCAATATTTTGACTCCTCAGACTTATCTGTTCAAGGTAGGCTTGATGCTATAATGATTTGAATTAAGCCGGCTAAAAGCCTTATTCCGGTAAATATTTTGTTAAATAAATAAATTTGTGTGCCATTTATTCCACTACACAATATTTTTTCGGAACGAAACAGAGAGCAAATCAATAAAAGAAATCATCATTGTTGTACAACAAATTACTGATAACATTGGCATATTGATTTTAAGCTTTTTTTAGAATAAATATTTTAAATCCGAAGTAAAATGAGCAATTTAAAAATTGCCTGTTTTAAACTATTTAAAATATTTTCCACCAGGATTTTCCAGGAAAAAGAAAAAAAATCAAATTAGTTTCCTTCTTCGTTCCGATCAAAACCAAATACAAGCTGACTAAGTAATACATATTGCATTTCTGGTTGATAACTAAACTTCATCATCACCAATTATCACCAAGAATAACAACTACGTTTGCAAAATCTTTGTTTGACTAAACAGAAATCTATTTCGTACAAAAAGTCAGCTATGAATGATTTAATTTTTCTATTTAAAAATATGAATGCACATTCCGAAGAACTGGTTTAATTTTCCCGGCTATTTTATTACAAACATCATTTAATAGGATGTGAACAATTTTTTCAGAAACAGGAAATTCGTATAAAAAAAATGAAAAACTGAAAAGACTAATTTCTGTTTAAAATAGCCGCAACAAAATTACAATCTCACATTTATTAATAAGATCAATAGATAAATATTAAAATGCAGTAGTAAGAAC